CTTGACCATGTCATCCGTCTGGGTAGAAGGCGTGAGAGTTGCGTGGTGTTGCTGAAGAAACTGAAGTACCAAGTTGGCCAAATGGTCATGAACCTTGATCCGCTGATTGAAGTCGTCGAGGTTGAGCCCCAGTGAGTTAGCAAGGTCCTTTTCCAAGGTAAGCAGGTTGATCGACTGTGATCGTCGTAGTAGTTTGGAACAAGTGCTCCAAAGTAAGGCCTCGGTGCGAGTGCGAAAGCCTTCCCACGTCACGAATCTGCCGTGAGCAAACGGCCGGAGCAGCCAGTTGGTGAGGCCTCCATGAATGACCTGAACCAGGCGAATGTCCATGCCGGACATGTCACGTAGGTTGTTGTGCGGGGTGTTGGCGACCGTCGTGGGCAGGCTGAAGTTGTAGAGCTGGTTGATATCTAGCATGCCATCTCCAGGTGTCCAGTCAGCCGATGGAGTAAGCCAGGCTTTCTGAGGTCGAACCGGTAGGGCTGCAGGGTATCCAGGTGATGGTGTAGCTTGCGAGGGGTTAACCGGTGGCGGCATCACGGGCGTCATGAACTTCGTTGGCGCGGGCTCTGGAGGAACTGGCATCATGTAGTTGATCGGTGAATGATGGAACTGCTGCGTGGGGTTTGGAATCGATTGGTAATTGGTCTGCATCACCGGGAAATTGTTGGCGGAGTTGTAGCCGGAATTGTGTTGCCAGGATACCAGGTTGTTCCAATCCATGCCTTTCCGAGACCTGGTTGTCATTGTGTTCGTGTCGGCGTGCTTTACGAGCTTGAGGGGAAGGACTCCGATCACGTCTGCGCCGAGTCCTGGATCTGTCACGATCATCACGTCGAGACATGGTGGCGCAACCAACGCACAACCGTCACACTTCAACCTTGAGAGAAGCAAATCCGACAAAATGCAAGTCAATGCAAGTTCAAGTCAGCGGCCATCAGCAGCAAAGGTAAGAGACACGAATCCGACCAAAGGCAAGTCAATGCAAGTTCAAGTCAGCAGCCATCAGCAGCTATGGTGAGAGAAACGAATCCAACAAAATGCAAGCCAATGCAAGTTCAAGTCAGCAGCCATCAGCAGCTGTGGTGAGACGTCTCTATGATCTGACAGCTGTCTTCCCTTTAGTGAAACCTCGTTCCTGATTAAATGTGAAATTCCGCTGTTCTGTGATAAGAACGTTGAGGTCAAATTTTCCGACAAAGGCCGGCCCGGGGTCACACAATGGGTACACCCGAGGGTTCCCCACGAATGGGGTGTACACACTTAAACTCCAGATGGAGGGTGCTAATCTTTCGAGTACAACTGATGAGTCTCGAGTACAACTGATGAGTCTCGAGTACAACTGACAAGTCTCAAGTCGGATAAGGTTCGGCTGGCAGGTCACTTGGCTTCACTCTAGTGTCGAAAACGTTACAAGGTTCAACATGAAGCACACACAGCGGCAAAAGAAGCGGCCAACTGGACTTTCATCAACATCACTTCACAAAAGCAGGTACACACGGGTGATCAATCCGTGCATCCACCATCAAGCATAGCTTCGTTGGCCAGCGTTTGCTTGATGGCCGCTGGCCCCCTGCTGCTCATAGTGGTGACAGGGCATTCTGTCACTCCGCACACACACACACCATTTTAAGACCATCCTCTCCTCCTTCTCCACCCTCCTCTTTTCGTCTCGTGCCTTGGTCTCCGCGCAGCTGGCGCCCCAGAAGAACTCTACCCCGAAGTCCCCGTCGGTGGCTCGGAACCCGTCCCCGGTCCAGGTGGAGAAGCCATCCTGCGAGGTGTACCTGGCGAAGTCCCTGAAACCACCAGTGGGATGGTTTGTCTCCGACTCATTCCCTGTGTCTCGGGGTCATTCCAACTCATTCCTTGAGCAGCAAGATTCAAAGGTTTCACGATGTTTTTCGAGCCGTCCCGTTTGGCTTAATGGGCTTGGATCGGTGGATTGGAGGGAGGAGATGAGCACTTGAATGCCACCCTCCGCAAAAAAAGAAAGGCAAGGGATATTGAAAAGAACCAAAAAAAGCTGGTTCAGGCTATGCTGAGACACCCAGATTTCGGAAACATCACCCACCCTCATGAAACCTTACGCAAAATTTGGCATCATGGGGAACTCTTTAAACTGCCCGAAAGGAGACGTCTAAGGCCCCTGGAAAATGGATTGCCACAAGTGGCTTGGGTGGCGTGATTGTCCAGAGTCTGGACATACCCTGACGTCTTTTGCTTGAAAGGCTGGTAAACAACCGGAACTCTCCCAGCGCTCAACGCTTGGCGCCGTTTTACCCAAGCGGGGTTGGCCACTCACGGCATGTTGAACAGGAATCGAGATCGTCGAAGACGCGGAATGTGGAACATGGAACCTGCAATGCCTGTCGTTTCTGGGGCGCAAGGATTGGACGGCTCAAACACAACTGGGGCAGTGCTTTTTCCAGTAAAGGGAATCCGAAAGGAAACAACCCATTCTGGGGGGTTCCCGTATTCTGACACAACCCCACATGCCGTTTCAGTGTCCTCTTGGTGTCTTGGCTTGCTTCTCGTTAGGGAATAAGGGAATGACCCGAAACAAGAAACCACCCAACCGGTGGTTTCCCTCTGAACCATGCCGGTTCATTCCGACAATCCCGGAATGGATTGAAGCGCGAATTGAAACCACCAGACTGCAAACCCAGGAAACCCAGATGATTCTGGGAATAAACCTGGGGATTTCCTTTCATTCCCTGCTGAGAACCAGCAAACTTAACCCAGCTTTAGCCCCACACCTGCCCCGAGGCCCCGCACGTGGCGTTGGAGGACAGCACTACTGGCTGGCCAAATGCCAAGTTCTGCGCCAGCCGAGTGGCCAGCTGCCTGCGCCGGCTGGGCTGGGGAACATCCGGAAGAGTCTGCCGGCGTGTGGCGGGAAATGCTGAGTCCCATGGTAGGTGTTGAAATCTGGAGAGTCGTGCATGTTCGAAAACTTGGTGCCACTCGCAACTCGCAAATGCAAAATATTGACCGCCATGTTCTAGCCTTTGCGGATGACTTCTTTCTGGAGCTGAGGCTGGCACCCCCCTTCTATCTATTGCTGTGATTTTCAGAACTGGGAAGACCCCGAGCCACCAATTCCACCCCCGCTTTCCCCCGACGCAGAAAGCCTGCCTTTCCTCCGCGCGGGCCAGGCAAAGCAGTAGGCACCACCACATGGTGTGCCACGTCACATGCTGCGTCCCGTCGAAAACCCTTCGAACTGCCGACTGGTGGTGTGAGGGTCTGCGGGTTTGGGGTCTTGGGGTCAGGTCTAGGGGTCTCTTAGCGGTCTGAGTGGGATCTGCCAGAAAGGTACTTGAAGCGCTAATCAGGTCATCACCCCAAAGCGCAGCTAAGGAATCAAAGTTTGAAGTGACCAAAAATCCGTGTGCTTTTCGGGGTGGTCTCTATCCTACTCTGAGCCAGGCAGCAAGAAAGGTTCACAAGCCAGTGGGATTCTAAAAGCCTTTGCACTCCAGCAAGCAGCAGCATTGGCTGAAATGCTGTAAGCCGCTTCTGATTCATAATATGTCCATGTACTACATAATAGGTGTGCATTACACTACACTACATTACATTACATTACATTGCATTGCAGTACAGTACAGTACAGTACAGTACCTTACCATACCTCACCATACCAGACCATACATTACATAAATATATATATATATATGTATATGGTACAGCGTTGCCAGCCCCCGCCCCCCTCCCAATGGTCATGGGTCACACAAGTACCCCCCCCCCCCCGTGGTTGTGGTCCTGTGGTTGGGTTGTGGTGGTTTAGGGTTGGTTTAGGGTTGGTTTAGGGTTGGTTTAGGGTTGGTTTAGAATTGGTTTAGGGTGTATTTAGGGTGTATTTAGGGTTAGTTTAGGGTTTAGATTTAGGGTTGGTTTAGATTTAGGGTTGGTTTAGGGTGGTTTAGGTTTAGAGGTTTAGGGTTTGGGGTTTGGTTTAGGGTTTGGTTTAGGGTGTATTTATGGTTGGTTTAGGGTTGGTTTAGGTTTCGGGTTTATTGTTTAGGGATTGGTTTAGGGTGTATTTAGGGTGTATTTAGGGTGTATTTAGGGCGTATTTAGGGTGTATTTAGGGTTAGTTTAGGGTTGGTTTAGGGTTGGCTTATATTGATTTAGGGTTGGCTTAGGGTTGGTTTAGGTTTAGAGGTTTAGAGTTTGGGGTTTGGTTTAGGGTTTGGTTTAGGGTGTATTTAGGGTTGGTTTAGGGTTGGTTTAGGTTTAGAGGTTTACGGTTTAAGGTTTGGTTTAGGGTTTGGTTTAGGGTGTATTTAGGGTTGGTTTAGGGTTAGTTTAGGTTTCGGGTTTATTGTTTAGGGATTGGTTTAGGGTGTATTTAGGGTGTATTTAGGGTGTATTTAGGGTGTATTTAGGGTTAGTTTAGGGTTGGTTTAGGGTTGGCTTATGTTGATTTAGGGTTGGTTTAGGTTTAGAGGTTTAGGGTGTGGGGGTTTGGTTTAGGGTTTGGTTTAGGGTGTATTTAGGGTTGGTTTAGGGTTGGTTTAGGTTTCGGGTTTATTGTTTACGGATTAGTTTAGGGTGTATTTAGGGTGTATTTGGGGTTAGTTGAGGATTGATTTAGGGTTGGTTTAGGGTTGGTTTAGGTTTAGAGGTTTACGGTTTAAGGTTTGGTTTAGGGTTTGGTTTAGGGTGTATTTAGGGTTGGTTTAGGGTTGGTTTAGGGTTGGTTTATGGTTGGTTGCGGGTTGGCTTGCCCTGGGGGTGGGGGTGCCGGGGTGTTGGGGTGCGAGTTTAGGGGGTCGGGGTGAGGGTGGGACCGTAGGTGCCAGGATCCGGGGGCTCGGGGTCTCGGGTTGGGGGGGGGGGTCCTGGCAGACCCATACCATCTGGGGCGGGGGGGGGGGGGGGGGTAGCAACACGGAAACACGGGACCATATATATATATATAATATATACAATATTCAGATCCAAGGTTGAAAACAGCTAGTTTAACACCCTGAACAGCCGTCACCATTTTTCCTGTTCGACTGTGTCCGCACGGTCCGCCGGCCGCGGAGCCGTGGAGCCGCGGAGGTCGGGGGGCCGCGGGGGGCCGACCAAATTTCGGGCCCCGAAAATCGGGCCAGAGCCAAGTGCCCCGACCCCAGTGGCGCTGCTCAGACGGTCACCGCCTGCAGACGGACATCTGTGCCTCTCGGTTTCAGCAGTTGTTCGTCCTCACCCCATGCCTCAGAAGCGAAACCTCCATCCTTTGACTTCGCAGCTTCGGCCAACAGCCAATCATTCTGAAAAATGAAGCAGAAGGGGGTCCCAGCAAATCATGCGCCTGGTAAAAGTAGGGAGCCCTGCAAAACACAGGCGTGTCTCTTGCAACAGTCCCCTGACTGGTTGGTTCCCTTGAAATCAGCTAAAACCCGCCCCTCGCCCTGGTCCCCAAACCCGGCCGATTCGTCCAGGGCCTGGCTCCGCAGCTGGATCCAGGAGTTCAGTGGGAACCCGGGCACCGCCAGCGTGCCGCTGGGGTCCGTGAACTCGAAAGAGCTCTTCGAACCCCCCCGGCCTCGGCGCTCTCGCTCCAGCGCCCGCTTGCCAGAGGAACCCGACAGGTTGCGACACAACACGGACGAAGAAACGGAAGCGACTTTGCCAAAGTTTTGATCGAACCTAACGAAGGGCAAGGCTGTCATTTCAAATACCCAGCGTGCCCAACTGCCTCTGCAAGCACACAGAACCCATGGTTGCCCAAATGTCCTGGAACACATTGAACAAATAATCTGAAACATTGCATCTCAACGAAAACGAAGCTTAGTATCATTTGGACGACTTGGCGAAGGCTCCTACGTCACGGCTTAGGGTTAGGAAACTGAGACAAAGAAGACTGTCAGAATAAGGGGACCCTTATCAGGCCCCCTGTGAGAGGCAAGACGAAACCGTGATAACAAATGGCCCAAATGAGTCCAATCTATATGCTCCACCGGAGATAAGCCTCCAGTGCTCGGGTGACTAGCCAAAAAAGGAGAAAAATAAACCGCCTACCGTATCGTTCGTTTGGGGAGGACGACGAGGTGCCCAAGCTAAGATTCCCATCTCTTGGGGACTGGTTGGTGCACAGAATTCCTCGCGAAGTCTAGCTGCGAGCTCACCTCAGGTACCCACAATGAAGGTCCCTCGTAGGGGAATCATAGCAATTCGTGCAGATGAATGCCCGTGTAAATGATGCCCACCTCCAAAAACACGCTCAAATGGACTGCTTGTTCCGGGATCAGCTGCTTTCGATCAGCTGCTTTCATACCCAACTCATCCCCTTCTTTTTCTGGGCTTAAGAACACCCAGCACAGAAGGTGTCCGCTCCTTTGGGTTCTTCTCTCTCACAAATGGCGGAAGGAATCCCTTTCAAACCAAAACCGGCTTTTTTCCACCGGTGTCGCATGTTTCGGTTGCCATTTGGGCAGCTGGGCTCTCCGGCCATTCTCCAGCCGCCAGAGCCGGGCCGCCAGCGGCACGGGAGGCGGCCCCGGCTTCCCTGGGCGCGGCCGGCGGTCGCGGCGCTCGGCTGGCGCTCGGGCGGCGCTCCGAGCCGGGGGCTTTCGCGGAGGAGGGACGGCAAAACGAAAAACCTCCGTGGGTCAAAAATAGGTACCCAAAGTGGGAGTTGCCCTTCATGGAATGACTAAAACCTGCGGTCCGGTTTAATTGCCCATACCCATGTGCAAATGCGCACATCTAAGAACGAGGAAATTGCAATGGCTGGTTTCCTGTTGGCGTCGCAAGCGAAACATGTGCTTTCAGGAGCGCCCTGACACTGAAATAACAACATCTGAGGATTACTATAGTTGTATGAGTTTCAGCCAAATGAAAATCCCCCTTCCCTACCGTCTCCATCTTACGTTTTGGTTTGGAGCTTGAAGCATTGATCTGCCTCTGATTGGCTTACAATCCTGCACTCCTGACATGTGCCACGCATTGGCTTCACCATGCGCCTGGCACGTTGAAGTTCACGCTGGCGCTGCAATGCTCATCCAGCTCTGCGTGAATCACCTGAAAGCCACGGGAGACGGATGTCCCTCTTGCCCCTGGCACCCGGTCGCATATCGAGGATGTCGGAAACCAGTTGTCTCAATCCAGGTGGGGCATGCGTCCCCTCGAGATGAAGTGTCCCACAAGAAATGCCTATGTTCCGATAGCCAACTTAGGAACAATGGTCCCCATCATGTGAAAGAAAAGTGTATGTGGGTGTTTCTCAAAACTAGAGACCTCTTCAGCATTGTTGGCTTTTTTTTGGTTCCGTCTGAAAATCATCTAGGGGCTCAACCATTCAACCCATAAACTGCGTCATCTAGGGGTGGTACATCACCCTTGAGCAAGTGACGCGCTGATGTTCACAACCCTCTCCCAAAACTGAAAACATGTTATTACACACACAAAGAAGTGAGTACATGAAGTGAATGGAATGCAATGCAATGCAATGGAGTCGGAATAGGATTGAATGGAATGGGATGGGATGGAATGGATTGGAATGTAGTGGAATGGAAAAAACTGAATGAAACCAGATAAAATGAAATGGAATCAAATGTAATCAAACGGAATCAAATTGAATTAAATGCAAAGAACAGACAGACAGACAGACAGACAGACAGACAGACAGACACACGGACAGACAGACAGACAGGCAGGCAGGCAGGCAGGCAGGCGGACAGACAGCCAGCCAGCCAGACAATACCTGAATGAATGCATGCATAAATGAACGAACGAAACGAACGAGTGAATCAATGAATGAATCAATCAAGCAATGAAGGAAGAAATAAGAGTGTGCAGTGTATGTATATATATATATATGTATATATATATATATATATGTATATGTGTTGGTTCTACAAAACAAAAAACAGAGACATAAAATATACATAATGAATGTGCAAGTTTAAGTTTATGATTTGCGTAAGTGTGTGAATACATGCATGGACGCATGGGTGCATGGATGGATGGACAAATGGATATGGATATGGATGAACGAACCAAACAAGAAGAAAGAAGGAAACATAAAATACTAAAAATAGAAAGAAAGCATGAATGGATGAACGAACAAACGAAGGAACAAAGAAAAGGAGGTAAATTGTGAAGAAAATACAAAGCTAGTTGATGCATCAAAAACCAGCTAATCGGTTAATCAGCCAATTATGAAAGCCGTAAGCATTTGATAACTCGAGTATACAAATGTGTAAATATATATATATATACAAAGATTGATATATGTACAGACACATTTGTGCATCTGTATTACTAGGCATATTTATTTTATTTTTATTTTTATGTGTATGCGTAACTTCCTTGTCACATGACGCATGCTGCGAGGGCGCCCAGGTCTGGCTGCTGTTGGTGGAGGTGATCGTCATCTCGGAGCCTGCCACGGTGATGGCCTGCGAGCGACGCAACCTTTGCTAGGTTTTAATAGGAAACCAACCAAGAACCAACCACCTGGTCTCATCTTTCTTTGGGGGGGAAGGGTTGGCTTCCTTTCAAGTTTCCTTTAAACCCATCAAAGGATACTCCAACAAAAAAACATGAGACCAACCCATATCAATCTTGCATACACCCTTTGAGAAGTCCTTTTCCAGCTGTGACCAGCTCCGTCAAGCCAGGTCTTTGGTTCTTCTGCTAGTCGCTTGCCCACCAGAAACCCTCGGCAAAGCCTTGATGCACATCAGTGTGTTTCGACATGGGGGTGGCCAGAGCTCATGGAGTCTTTGCTCAGGTTGGCAATCTAGTATTCCCACCAACTCCAAATGTTCAGAAACATTTGTGGAGCCCAGGACAAGATTACTTGTGTGAAAGGAGGACATGGAATTGTGGGTGGGCCCTGGTGTTTCGTGCCAAGTTGGCGAACAAGACACTGCCGTTTGTTTGTCGGCGGCTCATTGAGGGGTGTGTCTCAAATCGGGAAGCCCAACAGGCTCCGTGTGTTTCTCCAAGCAACCCACCTAACATACCATAGGCACAACCATTTCCGATGAAACGTTCTCTCAACAAGCAACTTGATCGCCGAATTTGGGGGGTCAACACAAAACCTGCGCAAGTGCTGGCAACAAGTAGCCCAGTGTAAAAAAGGCTCCATGTTGCCATGAACAAACAAAAAGGTTTCAGAGTTTTTCCCCCACGAAATAGGCGGTAACATATTTCTATTGCGTAAATTTAGGCAAGCAGTAAGTGAGTCCTTTACAGAAGCCCTGGAATTTTAGAGTGTAAGCTCCCTTCATTAACACCGTAGACTCGCGCCGCGCTGGCCGCGATGATTACTTGGCTGGTGTGCTGACAGCTTGCTTCCTTTCAGCATTTGGTTGCGTTGTCCACAAACATTCGGTGAAGCCATGTCCTGAGTTCCGGTTCAGTTGCTTCAGAAAGACTGAAAGAAACAAATCTGCCTACAAGGCTTGACATTTTTCTGCCTCAAGGCTAACAGCCATTGCAAAGGCATCGAGTTCCCGTTGCCCGCACCCGGCCTTTCGGTCACCGTCGTGCATGTCGGCAAAGGTGGCTTTCAATGAGGCCTTGCATCAGAATCCCGAGAACGATCCGAACTGCCCACACCAACCCGCTCCCAAATCCACGGTTGCAGGGAAGGCGATGAGCAACTTGCTGAAAGCAGGACACACTTCCACGCAGCGTAGCAGATTGGCGGAAAGAACGAAAGCCATTTGAAGCGAAACCAAGAGGGCAAAGCCACGAGTATTGGGGTCCCCCAAATACCCATGTTGAGCCCGGCGGAAAAGACTCACATCCGAGGTGCGGGGCACAAGGGCACGGTCGCCCGCTGCCCCCCCAGCTGCAGCCAGGCGTTCAGCGGCACCGAGGGCGCAGCCAGCCTTGCCCAAACACGCTGACTGCTGGTTCCATATTTCCCAAGATATTCATATGGTTGTATGTCAACGATAGGGTAACCCCAGAAGGAAAAGCCGGTTCTGACCCATATTAATATTAATGTGTATATATATATATATATATGAACAAGTCACATACAAAATTATATAATCATATACAGACAATATACATCTCATGTTCGCCTCACAAAAATGCCCAAGCCAGGCAAGTCAAAAGGTTCAATTGGATCAATACTGGCAAAGGAGGGTTATCTCATAGGGATTCTGGAGTGCTCAGGCTCACGCTCCAAAGCTCCAAGATCCAAGCCTCCCGGCTGCTTCACAACTTTCGCCGGGGCATGTCAGCCTAGACCACCTGTGGCATGGTTCCAAATTTTAGAACCCGCATTGCTTGCGGGAGTGAACATCTCAGGCGGCCCAAATCAACATTGAACAATCGGAGTTCCGTCCCCCTGGTTTGTTGGCATTTAGTGAGCCGCCCCCAGTGAGCCGCCCCCCAAGTCCACGAAACTCTAGCTGGCATGGTGATGAACCATGTCTGCAAGCCCCATAGGCAATGAATTCGCCCCAGATACCGACCCAGCCGTCCCACCCCCAAGCTGTCAGGGCGCGTGCCGCTGGGATCTGTGAACTCAAAGCTGGCCTTCTGCACCCCGCCCTCCGCCGCATTTGCGGAGGCGCGCCTCGACGGACGGGGGCCCGAGCAAAGCTCGCCCTAGCCAACTAGTTTTCGAACAAGCGACGCTTTCACCAGAGATCAATGTATGGAACCCCCGGCAGTATCAATGGGAAACCAGCTGCAAAGCACCTGGAAACGAAGTTGAGGAAGAGAAATGCAAGATGTTGTTTGCAGGTTCGGGTGGGTGACCAGGACTCAAAGAAAGAAGATCGTGAGAATCCGTGCCCGTGAGAAATGTACGCCTTCAACGTGTATCCAAGGTCTTACTCTGGACAACGTTGATGTGCAGAGCTCGGGGCAAAACATGTAACCTGGATTGCAATGCAAAGCTTCAATAGCGTCACCCCATACCAAAGAGAAATCTCAAACCGGGTCAAACATGTACCTAGCCTGCTTTTCCACCACCAAGCCTGTCTCGTCCCTTGCCCACTCCGAGTCTCCCACTCAGATGCAAATCTAGACCAAGTGGAACCCAAGTGGTTGCGAACCACCGATTCACAGGCCGCCCGGCCAGGCTCCGGTCGCAAGTGGCCACTCTTAAAAGTCCACTTCGCATTGGGCCAAGGGGCCAAAAGGTCATCAGCAACTTCACGGGCGGAGGGCCGGGCTTGCCAGGCACGTTGAAATCGATCATGGCGCTGCAATTCTCGGATTGAAGTGTAGACGTCCTGGGCTCGAGACGATCCGTTGGCACCAGCCTGGCGATTTGCTGTTCCCCCTCTTATTGAGCTCAATCCCCTCCTCTCAGGGCAAACTCCACTTCTTATAGTTTCCAGGCTCTAATTACCGTAGTTGCCAGTTGCCAAGTCGGTCCTTCTGCAAACACAATGGCACATCCAAACTTACCGCATTCCAAGGCTTCGTTGCCAGGTGTCACGACCCACTTCTGATCGTTGCCGTAGGGCTTGATCTGCAGGGCACTCCCCTGGATGTTGACCTGAAATAGAGAATCCCCTGTGGTAAACTTGAAAACTTGCCATGGGCCGCGTCTGACTCCGCATTTTCAGGATGCCCCCGTATGAACACCAGAACAACCAACATAAAATCGAGTTATTGTCTATGCTTCAGTAAAAAACCGAAATGCCAACAGGTATGACTTTAGCCCGCCCTGGTGCAATATACGCCAAAACAATCAGTGTGACATCCAAGCCTGCTTCTTGTCGCCATCGTGCATATCAGAGAAGACAGCATCAAGTGCCTGCCAGGTTGAATACATATTCATCTCATGCCTCTGTGACGATCTTTGCACCTTTTGGAACTGCAGGGAAATCATCCGGACTGGACCCTCAAACCTCTTGAGCTTGGGACCTGTAAACGAGGTGCCCAAAAGTAACGCTCATTGGCACATTCGCCAAATGTGTGTGCACAAGCCGTGCCTGCGGGCATTCAGACGCCAGCGCAGGCACTGCCAAGCTCAGCAACTTCCTGAATTGCAAACACATTAGAGTCTTCGACATGGTCCACGCCAAGCTAAAACAAAACAACACAAGTGGTTGCCCGACCTGTGGACTGTTGCCTGGACCAGCGCAACAAGGTGGCACGAGATTTCAACAAGGCATTGCACACACCGATGGAACTGCAGATGAGAGTCCATGCCATCCTCATGGCGACAAAGGATTGTGTTTGAACCAATTACTGCGAATTCGCACATGTCACAACACTCCTTGTGGCAATTGGAATTGATTGCCGCAGAATTGAAACTGCATATGTGTGGCTACATTGCAAGATGCCAAAAAGTAGCATGTCACAAATGCCTATTGAACCTTCTTGAGCGCTGAAGCTTGGCATGGTTCCGTCCCTCATGTGTGGCAAAACAAAACAGAGCACATTGCATTGCACATAATGTCAATCGACCCCATGTGGGCAGCCTCCTGTTCTTACTGACATTTTGCCTAACACGCGCGACTGAAGAATTCGCAGCTACGACGTGAAAGTTGGAATCAGCGAACTACGGAACGAAATGAAAATCACGTTCCAAAAGGCCAAGCAACTCCAACTATCAGCCATGATGCACTGCAACATGACCAATTCCATTTCCGAAAAACGGCAACGCCACAGCAAGAACGTTTTTTCCAGAAATGCAACCCACACTGCCGAGGGCCGCATGTAGGCTGTCAAATTGGTCATGCCTTTCACGCACCCAACCGGGGAACCGCAAACATGTTGAAAAGAAAAGCACGTTAAAAGAGCCAACGGCTATGCCACCGCGATGCACCGACGGGAAACACTCTGCATCACCACTAAGCCGCAAAAGCCTCCTTGAGCAACAGAAGGTTGTGGTGAGGCAAAAGAGGGCATTGGCAAAGGAGAGAAAAAGGGAAACCCAACGAGTTCGCCGCCTGACGAAATCGGTGAACACATTTGCTGAAGCAGATGTGGAGGAGCTGCCTGAGCGTCAAGCGCAACATGCCGGGCCCCTTGCTTTGAAGCCATTGAATTGAAGCCTTTGGACTGCAACTTCACGTTGAGTCTGAAGCCGAACGCCCTTTCGTGGCGCTGGGCATCTGCAAAGCGACCATCACGGCGGCGCTTCTCTTCTTTTTTGACCCGAGGCAGCGTTCCGTGTCGAGCACGCGTCTGCACAAAAGCCAGGTAAAACAAAGGAGGTGAGAAGATATCGCAAAAAGGGGGGTGGGTGAGACGAAAGAGAAAGTGAGAGCACGCAATGCCTCCGGCTCATCAAAAAGCGAAAAAGGGGGACCCAGCAAACAAAACCCAAACCAAAACAACACCAAAAGCCGGAAACAAGCAAGGGGAGGAGCACGGAGACAATGCAACACTACAACTATACATGCAAGGCTCACAAAGGTAGAACTCAAATGGTTGAATATTCGCAGTTCGAATTGACTGCTGAAGCCAGTGCTGCAAATAGGCCCATCAATCAGAAAATAGTGAAATGCACCCAGCGGCCAGCACCACCATGCACAGCAATTGCATATCATGGAAATACAATAGGATGCAATCGATCACGAGACATTCGCCACTCAAAAAAAGCAAGGGCGAGTAGTCAGGAACCAAGAGAAATCCTCGCAAGCCCTGTTGGGATACAAGGAAAACACGGTTGGGACACGGCTGATGAAAGACAGGACGCTTTTGGGCCCGCCGAGGTGTCCCACGGTCCGTGTCGCCCCGTGACACAAGCTTTCGTAATCCTCCGCGGCTTCGGTGTCCTATAACTATGCACACAATGCATAGTTATGATATATCAAGGACCCGGGGGACTTCCTCTAAAGACCCGCGAGCCAGGACGATATTTTTTGCGATTTGTCCCGAAAAGGGTGGGAGCACGAGCTGGACCAGGTAGCTTGTCCTGGACAGCACCGTGTACCAGGTGAACACAAGATGCCATCTGCCAGAACGCCTCAGCCTGCCAATGGCATTGGACCTGGCACTGTCCACACAACCGGAGAAGCCTTTGTGGGTGCAAGCCTTGGACTTCAAAGCCGCACACAAACAGGTGCAGGTCCGCCCTGAAGAGCATGGCCTTCTGCTGTTCGCCTTTCAGGGGAAACTCTACCATTTCAGAGTTTGCAATTTTGGAGGCCGTTTCTCGGCCTTCTACTTCGCCAAGTGCACGGGACATTGGCTTGGAAGCCTCACAAAGCCTTCCTTTTCGTACACGACCTTCTGTGCGCACTTGTCCGACAGCGCTCCAGAAATGTTCGCCTGAGTTGCTGTTCTTCTGCGCCATTGCTGCGCCAACTTCGTGGAAAAAGGCACAGTTCCAGGACAGCCTTCTCTCTCTGTAGAGGGCGTTTTCCAAATGGCTTATATTGTACCTGAGAGGCTTCTGACACTCGTCCGTCCAGCATTTGACCTCGTCCTGCGAAGGATTCGAAGTCTAAAAACGCTGCGTGCAGGCGTGTGGCTGCAAAATAGAGACCCCTAGATATGCTTGCAATTTGGCTCCAGGTTGCATTTCAAGCGAGCCAAGCTTTGCAGGGCTAAGGAAAAACAAAAAAAATCAAAAAAAGGGGTCCAAAAAAAAGGGGTCCCCAAAAAAAAGGGAAAAGGGGTTTCCTTTGGCAACGCTTGACATCGCTTGAAATGCAACCTGGAGCCAAATTGCAGCGCATATCTAGGGGTCTCTATTTTGCAGCCTCACGCCTGCACGCAGCGTTTTAGACGTCGAATCCTTCGCAGGACGAGGTCAAATGCTGGACGGACGAGTGTCAGAAAGCCTCTCAGGTACAAAATAAGCCCTTTGGAAAACGCCCCTCTACAGAGAGAGGTTCGCCTGAGAACTGCTGAAAAGTCCCCTTCCTAATCCCGCTGGATTGGGAAATGCAGGGAATTCCCTTTTGGAAAACACTGGCAATTGAAAATTCATTCCCCCCAGATTTCCTTGCTATACCCCTTTAAATTTCCTTCAACACAATGCCAACACAATTGCCAATCGTGTTCACATTTCAATGCCGCGCCAAGTCCGCTATATAACGCGCTTAATTTCAACATGTTTCGGAATTACATGTCGGAAAAATGAACAGGATTTTCTTTTGGCAACTCCGTCCGGCGGCCTGCCCCGCATTGAAGCCGCGCCAAGCCGCTGAACCCCCACACTCCCCCGGGTCCATGCTATATGTGCTATATGTGCTATATGGGTCTTACACGCCAAGCCGCTGAACCCCCACTCTCCCCCGCGTCCATGCTATATGTGCTATATGTGCTATATGGGTCTTACACGCCAAGCCGCTGAACCTCCACTCTCTCCCCAGCTCCTTGCTATATGTACTATATGTGCTATATACTCTGTACGCGCGAAATCTGTACTATATGTGCTATATAGGGCCATATAGCACATATAGCACGTATAGCAAGGAACCCGGGGAGAGTGGATGTTCAGTGGCTTGCCTTGTAAGACCCATATAGCACATATAGCACGTATAGCAAGGAACCCGGGGGAGAGTGGATGTTCAGTGGCTTGCCTTGTAAGAGCCATATAGCACATATAGCACGTATAGCAAGGAAC